AGCAGCCGCCACTGCAGCAGCCGCCCCTGGAGCAGCCACCCCTTCAACAGCCGCCCCTGGAGCAGCCGCCCCTGCAGCAGCCGCGGAGCCCTCGCCCTGCAAGTGGTAGCCGCCTCGCCGTTGCCGCAATCGTACGCCTGCCCTTCTAGCCACTGGTGAGCACTGCCCTGCCCGTACTGCTGTTACTGCTGCTCTTGCTGCTACTGCTCTTTCTACTGCTACTGCTGCTCCTGGCGTGGCCAAATGCAGCTCCAGCGCCGTCCACGTGAGTCCCTCGCCCCCCAACAGCTTCGTGAGTGGTACGCTAGTTGGGGTTGTAGGGGTGGCCGCGCTGTGACTACTGCTACTGCTTCTACTACTGCTACTGCAGCTACCACTGCTCCTCCTGCTCCTGGCTGTGGCCAGATGCAGCTCCAGCGACGTCCGCGTGAGTCCCTCACGCCCCAGCAGCTTCGTGAGTGGTACGCTACTTGGGGTTGTCGGGGTGGCCGTAGTGGGAGTCGTTCTGGCGTGAGGAGTTCGGGAGCTACTTGTAGTGGCCAGGCGCAGCTGCAGCGTAGTCCGCGCGCGGTCCTTTCGCCCCAGCAGCTTCGTGAGTGGTACGCTCAGAGTGGAGGGTCACGGAGTACTGCTCGCTGTCCGTACGTCATTCGCACTGGTGCTCGGACTGGTCAGCCCTGCGGGATGCTTGGTCACGCCGAGTCCCGCTGCTTCGCCCGTCTGAGCGACGTCTGGCGTACGGAGTTTGGCGACGCCGCTGAGCTCCCCGACTGGGTGGAGCTGCTTAGGCAGAGGGTAGATATCTATGCTCTTGACTATGATGCTATCCTCACTGCCATGTATGCATTGCCTACTAGTGATGTGGGTGACTGTTACCTGTGTGTTCCGCCTGACCCGGGCATTGAGGCTGCTACTCTAGGTGCTGGTGAGGCTGCTGCTCTAGGTGCTAGTGCGTCTGCTCCTCCAGGTGCTGGTGAGTCTGCTCCTCCAGGTGCTGGTGAGTCTGCTGCCCCCGGTGCGGGTGAGTCTGCTCTCTCAGGTACCACGCCGTCTCAGGTGTTACACACCTTCACCCTTGACTCGGGTGCTTCTCGCTCCTTCTTTCGAGACCGCACCACACTTACGCCGCTTAGTCGGCCGGTTGCAGTCTCCCTGGCAGACCCCTCTGGGGGTCCCGTCCTTGCCCACTTCTCCACTGTCTTACCTTGTCCGGCGGCCCCTTCTGGCTCCCTGTCAGGTCTTTACCTCCCCTCGTTCTCTACGAACTTGGTGAGTGGTGCTGACCTACAGGACGCAGGGGTTGACCAGTTCACTCCTGCGCGTCAGCGAGTGACCCACTGTACGTGTGCTCGGACGGGCCGACACTTGGCCACGTTTACCCGTCAGCCGGGGTCGAGCCTGTACACACTGACTACTGAGTCTCCTCAGGTAGCTGTGTCGAGTCAGGTGTTTGCTGCAGCATCCAGGTCTGGTCCTGAGTTTGCCCCCTACTCGTGTCGTCTCCTGTCTCACCAGACTCTCCTCTGGCGATAGAGGGTCCCTACTCCTCTCAGTGGCAGGCAGCCATGGACGCAGAGATGGCTTCCTGGAAGTCCACAGGCACCTACGTCGACGAGGTTCCCCCACCTGGGGCGAACATCGTCAGTGGCATGTGGATTTTCAGGGTGAAGCGGCCCCCGGGTTCTCCGCCTGTCTTCAAAGCGCGTTACGTGGCTCGAGGCTTCAGTCAGCGGCAGGGAGTTGACTACTTTCAGACCTTCTCTCCCACCCCGAAGATGACCACTCTTCGGGTACTGCTGCACATAGCCGCTCAGCGCGACTACGAGCTTCACTCTCTTGACTTCAGCACTGCTTTCCTACAGGGCAGCCTGCACGAGGAGATCTGGCTGCGCCGCCCACCTGGCTTCACTGGGTCGTTTCCTCCTGGTACCCAGTGGAGCCTCCGGCGGCCAGTCTACGGTCTCCGCCAGGCGCCCCGTGAGTGGCACGACACACTGAGGACTACACTTGCGGCTCTTGGGTTTGCTCCGTCTACTGCCGACCCGTCGCTGTTTCTGCGCACCGACACCTCTTTGCCGCCGTTCTACATCCTCGTGTACGTCGACGACTTGGTCTTTGCCACTGCTGACACTGCTGGACTTGCCCACGTGAAGTCCGAGCTGCAGAAGAGACACACGTGCACAGACCTGGGTGAACTGCGCAGCTACCTTGGCTTGCAGATCTTTCAGGACAGAGCACAGCGCACCATTACCCTGACTCAGTCACACATGGTGCAGCAGGTCCTTCAGCGCTTCGACTTCACGTACTCCTCGCCTCAGGCCACTCCTCTGTCTACTCGCCACTCACTCTCAGCTCTGCCTTCGGATGAGTCCGTAGAGCCGAGTGGCCCGTACCCAGAGCTTGTTGGCTGCCTCATGTACCTGATGACCTGCACACGACCTGACCTAGCATACCCTCTTAGCATCTTGGCACGCTATGTTGCTCCTGGGAGACACCGACCAGAGCACGTGGCTGCAGCGAAGAGGGTGTTGCGCTACTTGTGCAGTACGTCGGGCATGGGGCTAGTGCTTGGAGGGCGACGTCGAGTGGTCCTCACAGGTCACTCAGACGCTTCTTGGGCTGACGACCAGGCTACGCAGCGGTCGTCACAGGGTTACACCTTCAGCCTTGGCTCCGGCTCTGTTTCGTGGCGGTCTACCCGCTCGTCTTCTGTTCTCGGCTCCAGCTGTGAGGCTGAGATCTACGCGGGGGCCATGGCTGCACAGGAGCTACGCTGGCTCACCTACCTGCTGACTGACCTAGGAGAGCCGCCTCGTTCTCCTCCAGTTCTGTACGTAGACAACAAGGCCATGCTGGCCTTGTGTCGGGAGCACAGACTGGAGCACAGAACGAAGCACATTGCTCTTCGCTACTTCCTTGCTCGTGAGCTGCAGCAGCGTGGTCAGCTGCGCCTTGCTTACGTGGCCTCTGAGGCCAACACTGCTGATATCTTTACCAAGGCACTTCCGCCTTGTGATCATCAGCGCTTCTGTACGATGCTAGGTCTTGTGCCTACTTGGCCTCACTTGCTCACTTCTTGACCTTGCTTGTACTGTGATCTTTCTATACCTGCACTTGCTTGTTTGCCTTTATATATGATCTTGCATGTGAACTGGCCTTGTGGCCTTGCTCTTGTGCTCGGACTGTGTGGTGACGTTGTGATCCACCCTGAGCTTGCTTTGCTTTGCTTGACTGGTCTTGTGACCTCTTGTTCTCCCCCACTTTGCCTATGGGGGTGTGTCAAACTCATATGCTATAGTCTGTGTAGGCTGTAGTGGGGTAGACAATATGGGGTACAACACTTTTAGGTTTTCCTACTTGTACCCACCTGCTTGCTAGTTCATTCATTCCTTGTTCTTTCACAAATTATATCGCGATGCCGCGAGAAGTTCCAGTACCATATACGAGGCATTCATTGTTGTAGCGTGGCCTGCATGCAAGTGTCCGATAGGTGAAATTGGTACTTTTTCTTATCATCTGCCCTCGTATCTCATCCTTCAATCTATGTCCTTACATATATTTCATATTGGCCTTGTTTTTCATCCTCCCCCTTCTCTCCCTCACCCAGCCCTGCAAAACTAGGCTTGAACCATCTCTGTATATTATCAAGCTTCGTTCTTTTTTCCCCTCCTTCCTTCGACCTGTTGTTTCTAGCAGCATCTGCTGCGCCGCATCATCCTTCGGCCTCCACGCTTCATAATGTCAGTTAAAACCATCTAAAGCCGAGTTCAGTACAAACACCTTATCAATTTACGAATTTCTTCACCTCCAGAAACTTCTTCAGGAGACTAACATTGCAACAACAACGAGCTCCAAGCTTCATTGCAACAACTAGAGCGTGATTAAGATTGCAAACAAAACCAGCGCCTCGAGGGCTAGCACGTGCAGCGGCAGCACCCCCATAGTATGCACGCCGAGCAATAACACCCTCTGAGTCCACAGCGACAGGCTGAGGTGGCAATGACGGGTACAGCAACGTTGAAGGCTGCTGCGGCGACTGCGAGGACAATGTCGGTCACGACAGAGACTACGACAACGGCTTCAGCGGGGGAAGGGGGTGGGGGAAGGCGGGGGGAAGGTGTTGAAGGTGCCGATCAGGGCTCACGATGTGTTTTTGGGCACCCTTTTAGAAACTATTCGTGGCCTACCTTCAACCTGCCACTTCATTGTGCCAAGCGATGCGGACTGGGTATAACCAGCAGCGAGATGGGTACGAGTACAACCCCTAAAATGTTATCATCCCTACTAAATACCCAATCATAGCCTAGCACACAGATATATATAATTTGACAAGCGCGGCATACTCAGAAAGTGGCTAACTGTACGAACAATAGTATTCGGCAACGCTAGAATCGTCGGCATACATGGCATACAAAGCAGATCCTATCCGAGATATGTCCAAATCGAATACCTGCAAACCCCTACGCAACAGCACAAGCCAAACCAGGTGGGGATGTCTGTCAGCGGGTGAGTGCGCCCATAACCCCCCAGGCCAATGTGCCTGTAACCCTTCCTTAGGATCAATCGGGAATCTCCAGTGGACCTCTGACACCCCCCCCCATTGGGATGCACGAGGTGCACACACTGGGATTCGAACCCTGAGACCTTTGCTCTGCTACTATCTCAAAATCCTAAGTTGACTTAGGACTAGAGTTTGAGGATAGAACGATATTGTCGAGAGTTATACAAGCAAGGCAAGCATGCAAGGGGTGCACCACCAACATTAGGCTACACTACACTACGTTAATGCAAAGGGCAGTAATATAGAAATATGTTTCTTGACACGCCCCCATAACTGCCAGCAGCAATAACAATATTAAGTTGACGCCCCCTGAAGGGTACATTAAACAGAGTGCGCAACGGAAGGAGAGGGCAAGTGAGGAGGAGAAGGCGAGAGAGAGAGATGAGGAGAGAAGGTGGGGGGGAGCCAATCACGGCGAGCCCCTCTTACGAACCCCTTTTTACAAAGGGGGAGGTGAGAAAGGGATGAGGAGAGGAGGTGGGGGGGAGCCACGCAGCGAACCCCTCTTACAAACCCCCAATTCCACACCCCCTTTCAGCCGCCACCCGGAACCGCACCCCTTCCGCCACCCCCTCACCCTCCCCCCATAGCGGAACGTGCGGCAATGAAAGAGAGAGAAGGAGGGGCGGCAGCAGGTTGCTCACACCCGCCACCCCCAACCCCCCCCCCCCCAACTGCTGCACGCGCAACAGGAAGAGAGAGGGGAAGGCGAGCGGCGGAATAGCGGTGTGGCGCAGCAGCGCGCGGAGTAGTGTGAACCACCCACGCCCCCCCCTTCCCCCCACCACCTCCTCCCACAGCAGAAGCTGCGGCGACGGGAAGCAGGGCGCCTACGGCGACGGGATGTGGGGCGCCCGCAGCGATGGAAAACAGGTCGCCCGCGGCGACTGGACGCAGGTCACCCGCGGCGACGGGAAGGAGGTCGCCCGCGGCGACGAGAAGGAGGTCGCCCGCGGTGACGGGAAGCAGGTCGCCCGCGGCGACGGGAAGCGGGGCAGCAGGGCGTCCGCGTCGACGGGATGCGGGGCGCCGTACGGGGCTCGATATTGCGTCCTTCGTGGCCGGCACCCTGAGCGCCATCACGAGCGTCACAACGGGCGCGACAGTGGCTGCGACTTGCGCCATGACGGAAGCTAGAAGCGGTGGGCCCAAAAAAACTAGGTCGAGGAGCTTAGTTGCTCTGAAACCATGTTAGAATCCCAGCCACTAACCACCGGGATAAAAGGGCTTGTTTGTGTAGCGGGTGAGTGCGCCCATAACCCCCCAGGCCAACGGGCCTGTAACCCTTCCCTAGGATCAATCGGGGATCTCCAGTGGACCTCTGACAATGTCGTAGGCCCGAAGTGGGCGAGGAAGAGGTAGTCGAGGTGGTCGAAGCACTGCGCAGTGGGGTGACCTGGGCGCCGACAGACTGTGCCGCGAAATGGACCAGACTGAATTTGGTATGGGCAGGGTCCGGTGGGGGCCCCACGCGACGCCCAACTATCAGAGCCACAACTGCACAGCTCCCCACGCCAGCAAGTCCTGACCGATTAGATAATTCACTGTTGGAGCTGATGCTGCTGCTACTGCTGCGGCTGATGGTGCGATGCTATTGCTGTTGCTTACAGTTGAGTCACTGTCACATCTCCAGTACCAGCACCTTCTACAGCAGCATCCCCAGAACCGGCACTCCCAGCATCAGTACCCCCCCGACGTACTAGTAACTCCACCTCCTCCACGACTACAACCACCCCCTGCATCGTCCCCTCCCGTTAAAGGCAGTAGAAACCCCATCAATCTTATCCGTAGCATTAGGCTCAGCAACAGTAGCAGAGGCAGCTTTGGTAGAGAGCTGTGGCAGAGCGCACCCCTCAAAGCTAGGGGAACTTGTGAGGTGATGGTACGGAGGCGGGTCTCGATTTGTGCGATACTAGTCTCATAGAGATCGATTGTGAGGTGCATGGGTTGCATCGTGAGGAGGGCGTTACGGGCAGGCGTGAGGCAGTCAAGGAGGCGGGCCGCGAAGAGGAGCAGGGCGAGATACGTGGGTGGGGGGGACTGAGAAGAATGAAGAACAAGGATGGATGAACTATGAATGAGGTGGGTACATATAGACAACCCTAATTGGGTTGTACCCCCTATGGGATACCCCACTATAGCCTACACAACAGCATAAGCTATATAATGTTCTGACACACCCCCATAGGCAAAGTGGGGGAGAACAAGGGGTCACAAGACCAGTCAAGCAAAGCAGAGCAAGCTCAGGGTGGATCACAACGTCACCACACAGTCCGAGCACAACGACAAGGCCACAAGGCCAGTTCACATGCAGGAGTACACATATATATATAGAGCTAGACAAGCAAGAGCAGGTATATATATATGACAGTACAAGTAAGGTCAAGAGGAGAGCAAGTGAGGCAAGACAGGTACAAGACCCAGCTGAGTGCAGAAGCGCTGATGGTCACAAGGCGCAAGTGCCTTGGTGAACACATCAGCAGTGTTGGCCTGAGAGGCCACGTACGCAAGTCGCAACTGACCACGCTGCTGCAGCTCACGAGCAAGAAAGTAACGGAGAGCAATGTGCTTCGTTCTGTGCTCCAAGCGCTGCTCTCGACACAAGGCCAGCATGGCCTTGTTGTCTACGTACAGCACTGGAGGAGAACGAGGCGGCTCTCCAAGGTCAGTCAGCAGGTAGGTGAGCCAGCGAAGCTCCTGTGCAGCCATGGCCCCGGCGTAGATCTCAGCCTCACAACTGGAGCCGAGAACAGAGGACGAGCGAGTAGCTCGCCACGAGACAGAGCCGGAACCAAGACTGAAGGTGTAACCCTGCGACGACCGCTGCGTAGCCTGGTCGTCAGCCCAAGAAGCGTCCGCGTGCCCAGTGAGGACCACTGGACTCCGCCCTCCAAGCACTAGTCCCATGCCCGACGTACTGCACAAGTATCGCAACACCCTCTTCGCTGCAGCCATGTGCTCTGGTCGGTGTCTCCCAGGAGCAACATAGCGTGCAAGAATGCTAAGAGGGTATGCAAGGTCAGGTCGTGTGCAGGTCATCAGGTACATGAGGCAGCCAACAAGCTCTGGATACGGGCCACTCGACTCTACGGACTCATCCGAAGGCAGAGCTGAGAGTGAGTGGCGAGTAGGCAGAGGAGTGGCCTGAGGCGAGGAGTACGTGAAGCCGAAGCGCTGAAGGACCTGCTGCACCATGTGTGACTGAGTCAGGGTAATGGTGCGGCGTGCTCTGTCCCGGGTGATCTGCAAGCCAAGGTAGCTGCGCAGTTCACCCAGGTCTGTGCACGTGTGTCTCTTCTGCAGCTCGGACTTCACGTGGGCGAGTCCAGCAGTGTCAGCTGTGGCAAAGACCAAGTCGTCGACGTACACGAGGATGTAGAACGGCGGCAGAGAGGTGTCGGTGCGTAGAAACAGCGACGGGTCGGCAGTAGAAGGAGCAAACCCAAGAGCCGCAAGCGTAGTCCTCAGTGTGTCGTGCCACTCACGTGGCGCCTGGCGGAGACCGTAGACTGGACGCCGGAGACTCCACTGGGTACCAGGAGGGAAAGACCCAGTGAAGCCAAGTGGGCGGCGCAGCCAGATCTCCTCGTGCAGGCTGCCCTGCAAGAAAGCAGTGCTGAAGTCGAGAGAGTGCAGCTCGTAGTCACGGTGAGCAGCAACGTGTAGCAGCACCCGAAGAGTGGTCATCTTCGGGGTGGGGGAGAAGGTCTGAAAGTAGTCAACTCCCTGTCGCTGACTGAAGCCACGAGCCACGTAACGTGCCTTGAAGACAGGCGGAGAACCCGGCGGCCGCTTCACCCTGAAGATCCACATGCCACTGACGATGTTCGCCCCAAGAGGGGGGACAGCGTCAACGTAGGTGCCTGTGGACTTCCAGGAAGCCATCTCTGCATCCATAGCTGCCTGCCACTGAGAGGAGTAGGGACCCTCTATCGCCTCCGCGTAAGAGCGCGGAGTCGGGATGTCAAGTGCATCCGGGTCTCCCTCAGGGGTAAGCAGTACGGACACGAGATGAGGTGAAGCAGCTGCCAGACACTGGAACTCCTCCTGCCTGTCCTCAAGGACGTCCGTGCCAAGGGCACACTCACCCCCGACTGACGGAGGACAGGCAGACCCAGACTCAGCGACAAGACTAGCAGCGTAGTCTAGGCGACAGCGAGCAGCAAAGTCGACGAGCTCAGTAACTAGGGCAGACGCAGCAGTAGACTCGAAGGAAGGGTCAGTGACGACAGTAGCAAGGAGACGCGTGACCGTAGGACTGGCAGCACGAAGAGAGTCCGACGCAGGGTCGGGAAGAGCAGGAAGAGAGGACTCAGGAGGAGAAGGCAAAGGGGCACGCAGAGGAGCAGTAGACGGACGCAGAGACATCCTGTGCGTGCCAGGGACAGGAGGAGGACGCTGACGCGAACCACGACCACTAGCGCGAGCAGCACGGACAGGCGACGCAGGGCGAGACGCAGGCTCACGACGCTCAGTAAGACCTCCAGTAGGACCAGTGTAGGGAGAAGGAGCAGGCAAAGGGGAGGTAGGCTGTAGCAGTGACCGCGACGGGACAGGCTGTGGACCCTCCAAGAGAGGAGGAGGACCAGGAGAGGGCGGAAGACCAAGAACCTGCTGCAGGAGTGGAACGAAGTACGGTCGAGGCCGCGTAGCTACGCCAGAAACAGCAGGGACAGCACCAGTACCCCCAGCAGGAGCACCCGCTCCAGCAGCACCTCCAGTAGCTCCAGAACCTCGAGCAACACCAGGAGCACCCCCAGCAGGACCGCCAGTGGTAGTCTCAGCGCCAACACCCTCAGCAGCACCAGCTCCAGTCGAACCCGCAGGCCCAGCAGCTCCAGTACTCCCAGTACGAGCACCTCCGGGACCCGCAACAGCAGCACCCTCAGTAGCCGACGAACCTCCAGCACCAGCAGCACGGCTCCAGCGCCGGGCAAACCACTCGCGCAGCTCCTGTGGAGAGAGTGGCTCCCGGCGAGACAAAGCACGCGTAGAAACTCGAGGCGGAGGACCTCCAGGCGCAGCACTCCCAGGTCCAGCACCCCCAGGCAAAGCACCCCCACACTCAGCACCCCCAGGCTCAGCACCCCCAGGCTCAGCACCCCCAGGCTCAGCACCCCCAGGCTCAGCACCCCCAGGCAAAGCACCCCCAGGCGTAGCACCCCCACACTCAGCACCCCCAGGCTCAGCACCCCCAGGCTCAGCACCCCCAGGCTCAGCACCCCCAGGCTCAGCACCCCCAGGCTCAGCACCCCCAGCAGTACCAGAGTCACCAGTGACCTCGACAGGCTCGACTGCGTCTACCTGGGACACACCTGAAGGGGCAGGACCCTGAGGGGGGAGGGGGTCTACCGGGGGGGGACCTGGTACAAGGAAGAGCGGGGGCGGGGGGGGGGACGGAGTGCGGTAGGGGAAGAGGCGGTAGTAGGGTACCGACTCGTCGAACGTGACGTCCTGAGAGGACAGAACACGGCGAGAGGTGGGGTGGTAGAACTGCCACCCAGGCGCGTCTGGGGGGAACCCCAGGAAGACGCAAGGAGCAGCACGAGGGGACAGTTTGTCCGCAGACAAGTCGCGGACAAACGCCCGAGATCCCCAGACCCGGAACGCCGACGCATCGCCCACCTTCCCGGTCCACAGCAAGGCTGGGGAGGTCTCCGGCCTGGAGACCCTGGGGTGAAGGTTGATCTGACGTGCCGCGTACCTCACCGCAAACGGCCACAGAAAATGGGGGGCAGCCGCATGCATCATAGACGTACGAGCGACGTCCATGACCATGCCAATGCGGCGCTCAGCAATCCCATTTTGCTGCGGAGAGTCCGGGAGCGTGAAGGTCTGACGGATGCCTCGTGCACGACAGTAGGCTCGCAGAAGGCCAGAGGAGAACTCTCCGCCTCTGTCCGAGTGCAAACGCAGAACAGGAAAGTCGGAGCCAAAGCTCTGCCTGAGCTGGAGACGAGCTGCGCGGATCCAGTCGATCAGCACCTCAGTGACATCACCCTTGCCGCGCAAGGGGAAGACTGCGGTGTAACGCGAGTAGTCGTCAACAACGAGCAGGAAGTAGCGCTCGTGACCCTGCCCACGGACGCGGGCTGGGCCCCACACGTCCATGTGGAGCGTCTGCA